TCAGGAGGGTTTGTGGAAATGAAGACTTCCTCTTCACTTCAGTTCTGGCCCTTTTCTAAAGCAGCCATTGAAATGCGCTGTACTGATCTGGGTACTACCATGTACGTGAGGTGCACATGGAGGAAGGATCTAGGTTATTAGCCTGCATTAGGTCTCTCCCTTTCTGCTGACTTCAAGCTTATCAACCTGTAACACTGATGGAAAGAGGAGGAAGCAGCCAACGGGGGGGAAAGGGACAATGCAATGAAAGCTATTTACAAGCATCAGCAGGGCAAACTAAATAATTAAGAGCCAGCAGCTTAGATGGGTCCAGTCTCCTGGAAATGTGAAAGCCACCACATGAGGTGTGAGTGCCACCTGCTGTTTTGTTTTTTGTTTTTTTCTGATGATGGAGAAAGTTGGGGGAAGGGGGTTGTGGGTTTTTTTTCCACTGACCTCGCAATGTTTTTCTCACAGACTCGGAGTAGGCGCTGAACTGAAAAGTCCTCAGGCATTGTAAGAAGATAGTAATTGCACATGTTTCTCTATACTTGTTCAGTAATCTCAGAAACAAAAAATTGTGGGGCTATAAACCAGTCTCTGGGCAAAGAATAGGTTGGGCTGGAACAGGCTCATCATCTTATTACTGCTGTGGAAATGCAACAGCAATGTTCTGGTTGCTAACAAAGCTCTCTAAGGGCTCCCATACATTTGCAGGGAGGTTGCTCCAGTGTGCTGTAATTACAGCACATCGAAGCAGACTTGATTAATCGAGTCTGCTGGAGCGTGGTAATTGCCGCACTCCAGCAGACTCCAGCATCGTGTGCATCAGCATCCCCACGCTGAAAAATGGCAATGGGGCACTTTGAACTAAAGCTCATTCTAGCTTTAGTGCCCCACTGCCATTTTTCAGCTTGGGGATGTTGATATATGTGGCATTCCAGGTGCTTTTAATTACCCCCCCCAGCATGTCTATAAACACCTTAAAATGTTCTTTTTCCTCCTCCTTCCTTGAGTGCACACTGCCCTTGTAAAGTAAAAATATGTGGAATGGTAACATGCATCTCCTTGCCTGACCTTTTCTTATTTGTCTGTGACTCTAGGGGCCAAAAGGAGAGAATGTGGGTTCAATCACTCAGCCTCTACCCAGCAGCTACTTGATCTTCAGAGCAGCCTCTGAATCAGATGGTGAGTGCTGTCTACATCTCTAATCTTTCTCCTCTTCCATAGATAATCAGGATGGATCCTGAGCAAGACTTGACTATTGGGATTTTAAGAATATTTTTTCCATGCTCTCCTTCTTAATGTCCTTAAAGAAAATTGAGGACATGCGCACACAAAAGAAGGTTGGCCTCGTAATTCAGGCAGTAGGCTGGGGCCTAAATGAAATTAGTTCCTGGCTTTGTTGCAGTCTCTCCATGTGACCTTATATAAGGGATTTAATCTCTGTGCTGCAGTTAAAATAAGCCTAATGCTGTTTTCTGCTATCCTTGTCTAAAATTAGATAGTAAGCTCTTTGATGCCATGCTCTCATGCTATGCCGGCATGCATATTAGCCACTTAACAATGTCATTTCTTGAAGAACCACTGTAATACAAGCAATATGCTCGTCTAGTAAAGGAAGAAAAACCATTTGAAGTGACTGAAGGATTTAGAGTCCATTCCAATTAATTTGGCAGTCATTACTCTTCTAAACTTTGTTCTGCAACAAGTCATACCCCATTGGGTTTATATCTGTTCAGATATTTGTCTGCATTAGCACAGCATCCCGTACAGACTCATTAGAGTTACTAGCACCCTGTTTCACAGGTTGGAGGATATTCCATCTTAAATTCTTCTAAAACAAAACAAGGGTGAGAAGAAATGTGTGTACTACAGTAAAAGGTAAATAGAATTGTATGGGACCCCATGACTACATTATGGGTGTCTTTACACACACTTTGGGGTGAAGGACGGGGGACACTCATTCAACAAGCTTTAGTTGAAGTGCCCCTGCTGCCATTTTGAAGCACGGGGCACTGAATACATGTGATGTGGAGGCTGCTGGAGCGTGCTAATTGGCACATGTCAAAGCAGATGTCTGACACATGTATAGGTGCCCTGTATGCCCAATTTCTTTCCATCTGGATAAAGCTGAGCATTATGGCTGAGAGTTTCTTTTGAAAATTTGTAAGGGAACTAGGAAGCCAGGTGTTTTTAGCTTTTCAGTTTTAAAAGGCAGCATCCATGTTGTTAAACCAGGGAGCACAAAGATATGTGGCTTCTGCCACACAGGCATCAGCCTGACTGGAAGTATGTCTACACTAAGAGTCACAGCTGTGCTCCAGACATCTCTAGGTGAGAGTGTGGCTCATTGAACATCTACCTTTCTAGGTAGATTAGCTATAAAATGCAGTCTTGAAGGTAGAGGAAAAAAACCTTAAATCCCCAAGCAGCCAGAAGATAAAGGGAGTTGAATGTGAGATGAGGAAGGGATTATCCCCTGCACGAGATTAGCAGAGATCTTGAGAGAAACATTGGAGCTTTAGGAGAGGATCCTGTGTTAGCCTCATGCAGTTGTTTCCCATCTGAACCATTTCCTCATTTCAGGAGACTTGGTCCCACATGCATCCCTTTTTTATGGGTAGTCATTCAACAACTTTTTCCCTATCTTATTGCCATTTGCCTAAATACTCATTTAGGCAAGGACCTAAAGGAGAAAACGTGTAATGATGCATGTGGGCTGGTGGGGAGACAACTCCCCACTGCCAATTCTTCTTCTGAATACAGTGTTTCCCAGGTTAGAGTTGCAACTTGCAAAAGTTACTATCACTGACACCACATCTGGCTGCTTTTACTGGAATTCACAACACTGAGAAGTGAATTTAGGTCAATGTGTGGGAAATATGCCAGCTTGATATGTGAGAGTGTCTCTGACCCTAACTACTACAGAAGGCTAAAATATTACTGTTTTTTTAAGCAGCTAAGAAGCTTAAAACATACTTTCATTCCAGTTGGCCTTCAAAATAACATCATTCTTTTTCCTTGCAAATTCACGGCTGTTCCTGATGGACAGTTTTTACCCACTGCACAAAGGTCATACAAGTGACCCTGCATACACTTTGGGTCTCATTCAAAATTCCCTTTGAAGCTGCTGAAATCTCTGAAAAGATGTCTGTTAGGCTTGGATTCTAAGGGCTTTTTGGCTTCCAGCTCATCTTAATCCACTCCAGGAGCTGGCAAATAGAAAGAACATGGAGGGAACGCTGAGGCTATCAAATGCGTCTCTGGTTTAGCAGTTGGCAGAAAACAGTATACGAGCAAACCTGGGGAAAATGTTTCAGGGGTCTGGTTATGTTTTTTGTTATTTATCTGGGTTTGGGCCTACTAGTGTATTTACTCAAATATAAGACAATTCTGAATATAACACAACCCCCTCCCCCCCAGTAATTAGACATTTGATGCCTCACCTACTTAGTACTTTTAATATTGCTTCTGCATCAGTCAGTCCTGGAATTTCCCATAATAAAGCAGCCACAAGGAAGGCTACCTGATCACATTCATGTCAATAAAAACACCTTGAGCTGCTCTGCTCTGCTGTGGGCCGATGACCAAATCCCAGATCTCGTGGAGTATTAAATCTCCATTCAGATGTTTTTAGTGTCTAACTCTCTAGTGCCTCATGAAAGCGGAGTGGAGGGAAGAGATGCTTACTCTGAACAATTTATAAATGTGTTGTAGTTGTCCAAGTATAGAATATAATTATTGGAAGTTTGCCTTGAATTTATCCCTCTCCCACTGCTACATCAGGAAAAATAAATCCCGGGTGGGTCAGGCAGCCCCCTTGCATTCTTTTCCTTGCAGCCCCTTTCCACTCCACTCCCTTACTGTCAGACCCTGCCTGAAAACACTGACTTGGGAAAAACATGCCCATTGTAATTTTGCTTATAGACAAACTACTATGAATATCCATAGACTTAGTTCATCCAAAATTGATGTTTTCCCTTTTTTGAAACTACTGCAACTTTTAGCACAAGTATTCCATAAACACACTTTTAAGCAATCCTTTATACCTAGTTATGCATAATGCAAACAGGTGCATCTACATGAAACACTAACTACACAGAAGCATCCCAGGCAAAGCCCAAGCTATTATGTTAGTTTAACAGACAGCTAGTGTCTGTAAAAACCCATGTACCAGCACTACTGTCTAGTAGCACCAGTTACTACATACCAATTTAGTACTTGGTTTTGCAAGTACATGTAGATATGCATGATATTAGTCCAAAGCCAAAAGGCTCATGATTTACTGCATAGTTCATTGGGCTGAGCCACAGCACAGTCCACAGTGTTTCACGTCATGGTCACCCCAGAGCCCCACATTGCTCAGTATGTGTCTGTGTGTACTCCAGATACTCCTCCCTCCCCACAAAGGATCTACAATGCTAATTAAACCCCACTCATGACTGGAACTGGATGCTCTGTGCATGAGTCCTGGGATCCTCCAAAAAATGTATATGTGGATGAGGCACAGGGCAACCTGGTCCATCTCCACCTTATGGAGTCTGGGGCCACACTAATCATATGTGACAGGCTGAGAGAGCGGGTGACAGGGATTCTGGGTGAACTATTTGGGGCCCCATTTGGTGATTGTTGCCAGACATTTAAAGTTGGTGAAGAAACAGGAATCATTGGAAATGGGGAAAGAAAGGAAGAACTCAGCTGTGGGAGTGAAGAGGAAGTGGAATTGCAGTCAAAATAATGGCTCAGCATGACTTTAAAAATAACTGGGGGGAATTGGCACTATCATATATCTTATTCAGTTGGGCTGCATGAGCCTATCCTTGTAGGTTCCCATCAGGGCAGTGGGTGGGGGTACAGGTATGGAGATGAGTGTGTGGATATGCGGTATGAACTGTGTAACAGGTTTTTAGTGTGCTTTGATCTGCCAAGTGAACCACAGGGGCCACTTGGCAGAGTGTTGGAGGTGGGTATGTATGTATGTATGTATATGTGTGTATATATACACATATACATAGATGCATACATATACAAGATATATATATCTTGCAAAAAGAATCAATATGTTTGCCCAATGTGGGCCACATTTTATAGTCATACACAGTGTTCGTTGCATTTAATCAGCTTCATAGTTGGTTTCCATTACTGAGCACATGCTGCTTTTGGCAGTAGTCTGATGATGGACAATGTATTTAATGAGGTTTCCATGTATGCAAATGTAAGACAAGGACCCTGGGGGGGGGAGGGGGGGGAAAAGGGGCTTGTCTTATATTCAAGTAAATATGGTATTATTGCCTCCACTGCCACCTCCTCCATCCCTTCCTCCTTGGGCAAAGAGTTCATGTGTGGAAAGCCCTTCTCAATAACGACAACTTATACTACAGTGAAAGCTAGGTGGAATTTAAATAAAGAATTATGCAGGGGGTTTTGAGCAGAATGCTCCCTGCCTCACAAAACTGCTTGCATCTCTGTGAAAATGAAATAAAAGATGAATAGAAAATGAATAGAATTCTACCTTGCAGCCAATGTCTAGAAACCCATTGATGGATAGGTTGGGATAGTCTTTTAAGTATCAGCTGTCAAAGCATTTCAAACCTGGGTCAGATGGGATAGGATTGTTCTGTTCCTCTATTGTACAGGCAACCTATTTGCTGGTTAGGTAATTGAATACCGGTAGTAACTGTCTGTCAACCCAAATCTCCTAAACTGCCACTTCCTTAGTAATCACTGTAACCTGCCATTCTATTAACTTAATTAAAAAATGTACCATGAGATTGGTGCAGTCAGTGCATGTGTGTGAATGTTAGGGGATGGAATTTGCTGCTGCTGCCCGGTAACCACTTACCTCTTACCATACTGGATGAACTGTTTTGAATATGTGACTGAAACTTGTAGGTCAAGTGAGATAAAAGTAGTGCGGCCACATGTCATCTTGCTGCACTCCTTAATCCTGGCACCGTTGCGAGCCCTTTCTATAAGTCGGAGCAGCCTTGTAGCTACTCTAATCTTCACCTGCTAGGGACATCCTACAAGAGGCCTGAGCAGTTCAGAGTGCAACACAGCCCCAGCTGTGCCCTCTTCCTCTGGAACATGTGCAGTAGGTTTCAATGCAATGGAGTGGCACAAGGCAGGTTGGGGAAAAATCTAGCTTGCAGTATTTGAAGCCTTGTGGGGAGCTTTCTCTCAAA